ATGGAGAATATTACTGAAATCTTGGCTTGCACACTGAAACCTCTTAGGAGTAGATATCATCCATAGACCATCACAGTTCCATCGTTTAATAGTATGGAAACTTAAAGGCATTACAACAAACAAAGATAAAGCAACCATTAACTAGAAAATTTATTAAAACAACCATTAAGGGCATTATATTGTCCACAGAAGATTTCCTCTTCGTTTCCACATATAAGAATATAAATTAGCAATCAAAGGAAATGAGACGAACTCATTCTTACGGACAAGTATAAACACTGATTCAACCAGGAAGGACGTAGCATCGTTAAACAGAAAAGCTCTAGACAGACAGTAACCCCGATTACGTCACAAGCATGCACATTACACGGATTAGATATGTTTCAGAAGTGCTTCTGGTCAGCAGTTATGCAAATAAAATCGTAAACTCAGTTTTACATTGAATGGGTCAATTCAACTGCCTTGAGGTATAAGACATATTACTAGGTCATTCAAAATACATAGGAATAAGATTGAACTAGTATTTTAACAGCCTCGCAAAATATTGTATAAATTCAACCGTTAAATCCTCTACTTGAAGACCTAAACGTATACACTAAGAAAACTACGTTTTCGTATGATATAAACCAGTCGATTTCCATTGTGTTTGCCATATATAAATGTCCTCTTTATTATGCAGATGAGTATAACCATCATATTCTGTACTGAACATGATACCCTTAAACTATCCATACATGTGCTTCATTGGCACAGCGGTTAGGACTCTCGCCGACCATGCACATGGTCCGGGGTTCGATTCCCTGCCGACGCACACCTGATTTCAACAGTTGGCCTGCAGAGTTTGGGCTATCGACATCGCATGTTAAAAATTCCATACTTGTATCAAAAAAGAATACGGTGTGGAATCAAGCTGTAATCAAAAATAAAGAAAAAAATCGAAAAAAATTATTCAGATCTTGCGCTTAAAGAAATTATGTAGCAATCAGTGTTACATAGCACAAAGTTAGACACAATGAGTAGTGTTCATATTTATTTCCTTCACTGTACAATATCTTATGAAGAGATGATGTTACTTACTTGGCTATTTTAGGCATAGGTGCGTCGGTGGCACAGTGGTTAGGACTCTCGCCGACCATGCACATGGTCCGGGGTTCGATCCCCTACCGACGCACACCCGATATCTATGGTCGGCCTGCAAAATTTGGGCTACCGATATCCATGCTGAAAATGTCATACTTGTACTGAAAATACGGTGTGGCATCAAGCTGCTATCGAAAATAAAAAAAAATAAATAATTTATTGCCGCCCTAGATCTTTCATTAACCTTGTCATAAGAGTGGCTTCAGTCTCGGTCTTTCGTAGTAGACGCTAATTCGAATATCTGTTAGACCAAATGACGTGTGAATACCTATAAATGGTCATACTTGTCGTTTTACAAATAGGAGATTCTGCGTATAATAAGGAAAAAAAATGAAATATGTTTATCTTTTTTGATAACTGCGGTGGACTGCATGGTTTGCAGTTAGTTAAAACGGTAGTTCTACACTCAGCTTTGTAAGTTTTGTGATACGTATGATGAAATGTTATGCATCTTTTGCGTTAGACTTTGAAAATCAGCAGTCTCCATATTCTTCACAATGACAGAAATTAATGTATTGAATGAATGCATTCAGTTTCTTTGACTAGACACTAATAAACTAGTGTCATGTACCTAGTCCTTTGTTTCGTGCAGACTGAATTATATCAGTCAGGTTTTCAATGCTGCCACTGTGCCTCTCGGTGGATTGTCATCACGGTACACTATGAATTATTGATATGAGATGGTTAGAGGCCATCAGGAGAAAGCCTTTGACTTAGGTTTTGTGCTTGCTCACACTTACCAGTGAGCGAAGCTTATCTGCAATCTTGAAGGAACTCATATCCTCCTTCTGAGATTCAAACGCTCATCTCCCCTTGGTGCAGCCAAAGATAGTACTATTGAGCTATTCGGGTTGACGACTGACCTCCCGTAGGACTGTACTGAATATTTCGACTGGGCACTGGGTAGTGACTAATGTCATGCGTCTATTTCTCGATTTTATTGCATCATTGGGTGACTATGGTTCGAATCTCAGAAGGGTCAAGGTTGCATATACTCCCTCCTGATGGGTACCAAAAGGAATGAAACCTAGGTCTAGGCAGGGCTTCCTGACGAAAGCCTCCAATCAACCAATATCGGCATTTAATTCCTCTTTATTCTTTTGCCTTCATATCCATATTGTGCACCTTAGGGTTTCATGGCCTTTTCCTTACTTTAAAGAATCAGAACCATACTGTTGTAAAGCAGTATCCATCCATTCGACGACTGTGAAAGTAACAATTTCCTTTCTTTACAGTAAATGTATCTTTGAGGAGCACACAACACTCTGTAGATCTGAGCTCTACGCAATGTGAGGCACACTAATGAATACAGTTAGATCCTCTTGTGCAAAGTGTACGAAATTCGTTTACCCTATCAAACAACATCCAGATATCTTAAAAAGCAATACAGTGCATAAAGCAACAAAAGTCTTCCATGGTATTTTCCAAAGTCCTTGTACTTCTCTGATGAATCATTAAGGCAGTTTGTTAGCCAACAGACTTCAGGATTTGTTTTACACAGAAAGGTTTACTAAGTAATCTAATTATTGATTTTACTACTGATTCTTCTTTATCAGTAGAAGAAGTCTTCCACACATTTTTGATAGACCATCTGAATTAACGTGTTTCTTTAGCAAACATTTTGATTTTTCTCTAAATAAAAAAAACAAATCACAGTGGCTTCTCAGCTTTCAATTACAGTTTCAGAAAAAAATTTGAATATTAGAGAAACTGAAATTGTAAAGAACCGATTGAACTTAAAGTAGTAATCACACTCCTAGTTAAAATGAAAGAATATTGCTGTAAATGGTACATACTCATCAAAGTGTGTCTTATCTAAACCAGATATAAAGATGGACTGTATTATTTCCAGCGCATGAACCAAGAAGAAATGACACATCACAACAATATTTTCAAAAGTGGAGTTAAATTTTCTTGAATATACCACTCATAATGTATGAGAGGTGAACAGGTTATCATCTTGGGTTAGTTATATCACGCAGTTACCTCCATAAATACTAATGATGGTCATGTTTACTTCTGACCGTGAGAATATTAATTGAAAGCATAATTCAACCAAGCATCGAAAGTGGCTTGATGGGATATGGACCAGTGAATCTAAAGTAAAAATCATTAACTGCCCTGTGAACAGATATAAATTCCTCTAAGATGTCGTGTAAACTTGTGTTGTTGGTTCACTTACTGGTAACCATACAACTTATGTCAACCCTTAGATTTTCGTCTCGAACTAAGATAATTTGGAGATACCAGTGAAAATCAGGGAACACTGGGGGGCCCTTCACCAGTTGGCACCCATAAGCTCATCAGGGATACGAACCCGGGATCTTTAGATTACAACACTGACCTCGTTGACTGATCAGCCGCTCAGGTGGGAGTTCAATGACTCCTGTATTCTAACTTTACCAATTCATGACATGGTACTGCCCTCGCCAATTCTTTGGATGAGCATCTGCTTCCCTTTGACATGGTTGACCCCACTCCAGCTTCAAGAAATACATCCGATGGTCATCAGTGAGTTGACGAATAATATTTTATAATCTGAATATAATTTTAATTCGCGAAAAATACCCATTAAGACATTGAAATAACAACAAATTAGTTCAGCGAAGAGTTTCTTTTCGGCGAATTCATTCACTTAGCTGTACAGTCGCAAACATATATACAATTAATTTTGTGTGTGTCTGTACATTAGGTTTGTCAAAATCAAAATCAAAATAACAGTTAGTGTGGGTTGTTGATTACATCATCAAAACAATAAAGAAATTAAAATGTGTGATTAATAATCAAAGTTGTAACTAAGTGGGGTGAAGATTGGTAAGATGTGAGTAGGGTTACGTAATATAGACATGTTTAGAAAGATTAGATGTTAGTGAAGGAGTATGGAGACAATTATGAAAATAAACTAGATCATAGGTGAAAAGATTGAATGGGTTAGTTACTAAAGATTATTATCCGAAAATTGCAAAAAAAAATTGATAACAAAATGTTGATGACAGATAAACTTGAAATTAAACCCACGGTAGTAGGAGGGGGTGGAGAAGTTTCTTCTGTGTGCATAAATCAGGCTTTTCTATCCAAATCGCTAAGGCTTCGGCAATACAAAGTATGCAGAAGCTTGTCGATTTTGGAAGGCTTCTTTTGACTTTATAGATGACTTTGAACAACTTCTCCTTGCAAATTGAATGACCAGTGTTGAGTATATGCTCAATAATGGCGCTCCTTATTGCTCCGTTTTTACCTTTCCGTAGCCAGGCGGGATAGTGTTCTTGAACTCTTTTAGATAAAACTCGCATCGAATGACCTAATGTACACACACACACAAACAAAATTAATTGTATATATTTGCGACTGTACAGCTAAGTGAATGAATATAATTTATTACGTCAAAATGTAACTTCATGCTTATATTATAACCACTTGTTTGAGTCTAATAAATGGGAAATTTGATGACATTTTAAGATGAAGAGCCTCCACCGCAGTACTGTGATTCAGGAAATCCGGTAGTCAAGTTAACAGTGCAGTGGAATTTGTAAAAAAAGAAGCAATCTTTCTGTACTGACTGTTAGAAATATCAACACAATGATGGATGTAACCACTGTCGTTAGACTTCAACAGATGAACAGTGCTCAAAATATTACTAATTTTTTATTCTTTTTGTTTTTACTTATATCAACTAACAAACTGCAAAAATGATAATGGAGATTATTCTTGTGATAAACAACACTGAAAGTGGGAAATAATCGTAACAATAATAATAATAACACTTAAGAGAAATAAGCTGCTCTAACAGTTTAACCAATCACAAACTAGTAAGCCTAACAACTGATTTATTCTTCATCCCACCTATCACAGTTAAATAAGTAGAACTGTTTGAGCATATATATAACAATATATCAAGAAAATGAGTGGCAGACACTCTTCTTCTTCTAAGATTATCATTCCTGCCAGCAGTGTGTTTATTATACAAGAAATAGAATTGATACACATTACAGAAATATACTGAGACTAGTTTTCATTTGAAGTGAAAATAGTGCAATACTTTTAACTAATCCCTGTTCTGAACTGCTGAGAGATCCACACCAAATTGACTTGATATTTATTCGCATTTGAGAGTGATCATTAAAAACAACAACAACAGTAGCAACAAATACTTAAGCAATAAAATGAATACACAAACACCAGTAGTGAATAAATCAGAAAATTTTCTTGCTCAATTCAAAGATGGCAAGTCAAATTCATTAAAACACTTCACTGCAGCACAATTTGTTGAAGTTTGGAATCATTACGATACAGACGGTAAGTAAGTTGGTCATTTTGAAAATTTCGTTTTCTTTTTTTTCGTTGACCTACATAAGTTCATAAGTAGTTAAGTATCATGATTCTTAACAATAAACTGTGTTCAAAATGTCGTCATCCAGGAAATAATACTATCTAACTGTGTGTAATATATCCTGTAAATGAAATGGAGGAATTTGGAAATCAGGTCCCAGATGGTTGAATGGTCTGTTTGTTTACTTTTTTAACGGGATGGTCTGGGGTTGGAACCCTGGTGGTGGGTGAGTATTGTTGAAGAGTTCCAAACTAGAATAAAACGACTATCTAATACTCTCTGGTTTTCCAATGGTTCCCTGTGTGAAGTCAACCCGTGATCAAACCTATAGCCAATCAAATCCCTGCAAACCAACAATTGATAATATGGAATTACACACTACCACAATGCCTGAGCTTTACGCATATAGTAAGGAAAAGCAAGTTCTCAGTAGTCTGAACGTTCAAACCGCCTGTGTTCATGAGTAATCACTAGGATAATTTGACTTGATATGTAGTGAAAACAATCCATCTTTATTAATGTCAGACATATAGGAGAAACTTCAACACTCAGCAACTACCCTCATGAACTAGTCAGGAAGTATATAGAAAAATATAAGAGTGAAATTAAAAATAAAAATAATAATAAAGATGACATGAATGACAAAGATGCACAAAGTGATGGCAACATCAACGATATTACAGCCGATACAAGGAGGGAGCTTCTGAAACGCTACGTACAATTCTCAACAACAAGGAAGGAATAAAAGTGACATTCATTCACACTCACAAATCCACTTAGTAACAAAATGTTTGCAGCCCATTAAACAAAATAATGAAATGAATGCCACGTCAAATACATAGGTCAAAGCAGTAGGTAGGCGACACAAAAACCAAGCAAAATTTAGATTAGTTGACCCTAATAAAACTAGGTAAGAATTAGAGTAGTAAAATCTTATAATGACAGGCTCAAAGATGAAATTTAATCGAATCAACAAAGAATGCGTACAATAGGAATGATTCAGTGTCTGTCTTAGACAGCTAGAAAATTGTCCTATCGGGGAAGAAAAGAAAAGAACTTTAAAGATCATGTTTCAAAGTTGTGTATTTGTAACTGTAGTAATTATGAACAATAATAAACTGTGTTCAAAACTTCGTCATCCAGTAAACAGTAATACTGTCTCACTGTGTGACACATCCAATGAAAAAAATTAACGTAGAATTAATGTACCTACCTGAACTATTGACAATCCTGAAAGGCATTTTTTTTTCTACAGACAAAGTTGTCATATATATCTGTTATGTTAGTGAAAAAATATGGCATTTAAATGCCTTAATCGTTTTAAAGTATAGCTTGAAACAGTTTCGAATGTTAAGAAAAGTAGAAGTATGTCACATATTGCCACAAAACTTGAAAAAAGCATCGTAAGCCACGTTCTAGAACACCCGAATAGTCCACCACATAAACTAATGCTAACTCTGCCAGACCATAATAAAACCACTCAGCTATTCTCATTGAAAACTGTTTTACATTTTATTCGCAGAAGCTTTATTTGTGGCACAAAGTTTGGCAGAATGTATGTCAGCAGAGCAAATACGGGGAATTATTTTAGAGGGATTTTTGCTTTTTTAAGCGGTTATAGTCTGCCTACTCCCCAATAATATGAAGGCAGGTGTTGTACACCTGGGTACTGAGTGGAACATTTGCCTTTAGCAGCAGACCTCCACTTTGTTCTGTTCACCGAGGTTCTCTTTGGCTGGCCCCATGATTATCCATAGCCTCTCATCTCCTCCAGGCCGACCTCGTGCATCCCACTCGTCGTTTCACATTCGGGTTCCACTAGAACGGCTTGCGAGAGAACGGTCACCTCAGTGTGTGTCTGACCCATCTCCATTTCCAAATTAATTTGTTTATTAGATACATCACACAGTGAAACAGTATTATTGTTTACTGGATGACGTTTTGAACAGAATATATTGTTCATAATCACATCAGTTGTATGTGTGTGCAAATTTATTCGCTCCCGCGGAGAAAGCTATATAGGGCGAACAACTAGACAGCTTAACAAACGTATTAATGAGCACTCTCCTTCTTGGTTCCGGAAAGACCAACTATACTCTATAAGAAGTTTTATTCTGATTCATTTGATTGATAGTGGTCACCAAGCGGACAGAAGTAGTGCTTTCAAAATTATCTGTCGTATTCTGTTGAACCTTTCGAAAGGAATTCTAACCAGCCTTTTGCACATAACCGAAGCCAATTGGACTTCGAGAGAACAATCCTAGTCTTATCATATAAAAGAAGTTTGTTCTACCTTTGTCTCTCCCTTGCTCCCCTAGGTAAAGTCTAGTTAAAATAAACCTCCCACCCTTTCTTATTTTCCATTTCCTTCGTGTTTTAATGATATTTATTTAAACTCTGATTATCTGTCCACTTCACCTTAAGTATTACGTAACTTTTAAGATTTGACCTAATTTATTTATTGAACTGTCTACACATATTACTCACTATCTTCATTATTCTTATCGCCTACCTGGATAAACCCTATTATCATTATTTTTTGTCATTATAATCATCATTACTACTACGTTCAGAACAATTAACACGTATTATTATTATTAGTATTTGATCCATAAGCTCACAGTCATTAGTTAAAGTTTTTATATGTAAATCTATGCAAATAAGAATAAAGCCTGAAGGTGACCTAATTGAAAATAGTATTGTTCGCTTATATGTCTTGTTCCAGTATCAATTATGATTGATATGGTTATTGATATTGGCTTATTAATATGATTATGAACAATAAATTTTGTTCGAAACATCATCCAGTAAATAATAATACTGTTTCACTGTGTGTGATATATCTAATAAACAAACTAATATGGAATTACTTACTACCACAGTGCCCACATTTTACACATGTATCAGCATCTCCATTTCCTTCGGAACATTTGTTGGGCAACAGGTTCTTGATTTATTCATTCCCAAAGTTTCTTGTTGCCAGTTATTTCCAGCAGTAATCGTATCTTCAATATTGAGTCATCGAAGGCAGCTGTTGATGAATATCTGCAATGGCCTGCTGGGAATTCCTTTCGTGATGGGTGCACTAAGTTTCTGAGCCATACAGAAGCGCTAACTGACTGACTTCACATTGGTGCTGAAAACCCGAATCTTGTTCTTTATGCTGACTGAGTGCATTCGACTTCCAAAGTGATTTCCGAGTGTTGCCTTTCCTATTCTAGCTTCAACACCTTGCTCCATTTCGCCTGTATTGAAACAAGGCTGCCTAAAAAAGACAAGAAAGTGACCGTTTATAGTGATCGGTGTCTATTGTTGTTCCTGTTGATTTGTTGGTTATCTTCACCACATGCATCTTCTGCATGTTCACCTGAAGTCCTATCTTCGCTGCCTCTTCAGCCGCTTTGTTGGTTTTCACTTTTATATCATCGAGTTTGTGCGACATTAGATATAAGTCATCTGCGAAATCCAGATCAACCACAGTCTTCTCATCAGTCCGGAGTATTCCTGTCTTCTCACTTCCTCGTAAGAGTCTGGCGCATAATCCAGTCAACCACAACCAACAATATCATCAGTGATAGTAAACAGCTTTTTCTTACTCCTAGCTGCATAAGAAATAGGATTTAGTAAAATTTTATTGACAGACTGAAAACTGAAACACATCAGTTTATATCTGAGTGAAGTAACAGAACTAAGAAATAAGCTGGCTATAAATAAACAATAAACACTGATGGAAGTATCATTTATACTGTCAACAAGTTTCATAGATTATTCTGCTCATTTTGCTGCGATAAAAATTCCTTTTCAGAAAGATATTTAGAAAAAAAAGTTGAAAATGTTGACACACCTCCCACTAGCAGCCGAGAAAATCCTGATTAGTCATTAAAGCAGGCTGATTTACTGGTGTCAATGAGGCGTTCAGCATTGTGGCTTACATGATGTACTGTCAAAAGAAAAAGAACACAGAGTGGGGAGGGGGAGGAGGCATGCAGAAAAAATAGACAGAACACATATGAACTTGATTACTAAGGAAGTCAGTCAATCATCTAAGGGACATGAGAAGTATCATTGATCAGATTTTATCACTCGTTGTTATTTATTGTTTTTTTTCTTCACCTAAAATGAACAGTAGTTATTATTATGGAAACATTCACGTTTTGTTTACAAATTTATATATGACAATAATAAGTGCTAATTCCTATTTAAACTGAACTAAATAAAGTCTTCACTTACTAATCATAAACAAATCCCATTTGGATTAGGCAGAATTTTGTGAGGCTTAAATTAACAAGAAACACCTTACCTCATTGTCTTTAACAGCCAAAATATAAGCTGCTCGGCTATTGAGAATATTTAAGGTCAACAGTCCACTATTCATCCTGAATTCTTTGAATTCAAAGCGTTTATTTCAGCTGTATACATGCTGATTATTATTGTTATTAGTTCATATTTTATACCTCATGAAGATGAATTCATAGAAGTACCGTAGACTGACTCGGAGATCTGCAGACCGATAAACTTCAGCCCTGAATTGTACAAAATAGCATTCGCTTGTACATCACTGGCTATTTTCTCAGAATAAGAAGGTTTTTATTCCCTAACGTCCCTAGTGGACCTCAGGGCTTCAGGCTTTAAACTTTGAAGTTTCAATAGCAATTGTGTTTATTTTTTAAGGGATAGAGCCGCTAACCTCCCGACCAACCTTTCTCCTTTACTAACAATACTACGGGCTAAGTGAGGTTCGGAAGTGAGTTCGAGTGGGATAGACACTGGACCACGTCGGCGGTTGGTGAGTATTCTACCAATTAATAACTACCACTTGATAAATCAGAAATTGTTGAAGAATTCGATTCACCGCTGACTGGCTAACTTGGTACGGGGAAGAAAGGTAAGCTACTCCAGGGTGGCTTATGGAAGCGGAATAATAAGTAACGTTTTGCCGCATTAGTAGTCTGACTGAGAATTGAGA